TCATATATGTATATATATATGTGTGTGTGTGTGTGTGTATATATATATATAAAATATTTAAGTTGCTTGGGAGGAATTTCCTGTTACATGTGGTGTTACACTACTGTGATTTGGTTAGTCTATGTTGTTTTAAGTGCTGGAACATCTTTGATATCCCTTTTGAATACAGTGTGTTGATGTCCAATATCTCTGTTCATAATCTGACCTGTTGCTAGCTGCAGATGACGTAACTTAATTGTTTCTGGGATGTGACCCGGTCATATTGTGCTCTGAATTGCTTTGCTGATCGTAAAAAGTCTACTTTGAACACCATAAAGATAGTACTGAAAAGATAGCTTTTTTTCTGTGTTTACAACTGCTAACATGCTTCTCAGAGTTTTCTTTTTTCTCTTGGGTGTGCGTATCTCCAAGGCTACATGCCATTGTACTTTATTTGAATATAATTATTCTAACTTACGCTCCCATTCGCCAGAGGACATAGCACAGGTTATATTTTTTTCTAAAGCTCAGCACTGTGAGTCTGGATAGGTCAGGAAATAAAAGGCTAGGACTACTTTTCCTTCCTGGGTATGCATAGTACTTTATGAAAAAGCAAGCACTTTAAAATTCAGCTTTAATTAAGGGTTCTGTGGTAGCTGGAACACATTATTTGATACAAAGAACATCCAATGCAGTTGCTTTTGCAGTCTGGTTATATCTGCTTTTTCTTGCCTTTTTGTGTATGTAACTGCTGATGTGGCTTAAGTTCTGGTGTTTTGCTTAACAGAGTTTTCTTTCCTATCTTGTAAATAATACTTTTCTAGTTTCAAATAATGAAGAACAGTATCCATTTCTTGCTTTTGTACAGTACTAAACCACAGTAGAATCTTTCAGATGTATTAGCTACATCCCACTATCATCTGTATATTTTGTGTAACGGTAAAGGTAGATTGCTTGACTAGTTTAGAAATAAATATCAAACAGGAGTCTGTAAGGATTTGCATGTGTGTCAGACTATGGACAACTAGTCCTTCAACATTTCAGTTGTTCAAAATTTCCCTTGTACAAAGACTGCATTTTCAGCAGGATCAGGAGGTGAAAGACTAGTGGGATTATGCTATGATCACTTCGGAGCCATAGGGCACAATATGCTTCTAACTTGCTTGAATTGCTTGATTTTAAGGTACAAAATACTCTAGGGAAGTCTTCCAATATCCAGGCGTCTGTGTGTGCAGTACATGATTAGATTTAAAGGAGGCACAAGAAATTTTGGCATACGTAAATTAGCAGAATGACTGACAGTAGTGCCTATTTTGCTGAAATGCTTTTCATTCCTTCTTCACTGAAACCCAGTATGTTTGGTTTTTCTTCTTACTTACAAATTTATATGATCATTTATGTATGTATATTTTTACATTTATACAGCTTTATCACTATTTTTACGTTGTCCTTTATTTTGTAAAATTAAGTGGTGTATTTGAAGTTTAGTGAGTGAGTTCATTCTGTATGATACAGTCCTGGGTGTACTGTGTGACAGTGCACTTGTGGCAAGCCCTTACATAACACTGTTTTATATACTGGATGTTTTAGGTGCTGTTCCTGGTGTTCACACTTTTGGAGAATTGAGATAGATATTCAGTGCCTGAGTTTACAAAACAGTAATAGTATCAGACTGTTCTATTTCTTGATTGTGATCTTTGTCCATCTTTTGGGTAGAGTCAGCGGAAGCAGATATAAAACATTAACTTCAAACCTGAGACTTATTTGCACATATTGAATGTTTGGCAGTCAAAACAAAACCTTTTTTCTTTTTTTATTTTCAATTCCTAGGCTCTTTACCATGTTAGGAAGAGAAGTGTTAACTTTTTTTTTGTCCATCTAATGGACAAGTTATCATATCACAGCTGAACGCTGAAGCAGGAAATAGAATGGCAATGGCTTTATTGTAGGACTCCATCCAAATGAACCAAGTCCAATTTTAGCTGAGAAAAAGAGAAGCTGTTGAGCTATATACCCAGCATACCCAGGATACCTGCCCTTATTTGTAAGACAGTTGGAATTGGAACTGAAAGGCTACTCTTATCTCCACAAAGCTTGTACTAAATGCAACTAATTTCATATGGGAATGGATGTAAATTCTACACAACATAATCTGTGTGAGTATACAGATCAGCTGGGTGAGTTGCTGCTCTGATGAAGTCATTTTCTGTGTGGTTTTCCTTAAATCTGTGAGAATTCTCATTTATAGAGAAGAGGTCTGCATCTGTATGGGTATCATCATTCTAGAATAACTAGCTTATTTCTATACAGGAGGGAGGAGAGAAGTATGAATAAGACTGAACTGATCCTACAGCTTGTCTGCGGAGATTTGCTGATGTTGTTATCCGTTTTGTGATGAGGGCATTAAGTGCACCCTCAGTAGGTTTGCAAATGACACCAAGTTGGCTGGAAGTGTCGATCTGCCTGGGGGTAGTGAGGCCCTGCAGAGGGATCTGGACAGGCTGAAGAGCTGGGCTGAAGCCAATGGGATGAGGTTCAACAAGGCCAGATGCCGGGTCCTGCACTTTGGCTACAACAACCCCAGACAACACTACAGGCTTGGGGCAGAGTGGCTGGAAGACTGCATAGAGGAAACGGACCTGGGGGGATTGTTTGATTTTTGGCTGAACGTGAGCCAGCAGTGTGCCCAGGTGGCCAAGAAGGCCAATGGCATCCTGGCTTGCATCAGAAACAGTGTTGCCAGAAGGAACAGGGAAGTGATTGTCCCCCTGTACTCAGTTCTGTGGGTACAGAACCTCACCTCGAGTACTGTGTCCAGTTTTGGGCCCCTTAATGCAAGAAAGACATTGAGGCCTGAGAGCGGGTTCAAAGAAGGGCGACAAAGCTGGTGAGGGGTCTGGAGCACAGCCCTGATGAGGAGTGGCTGAAGGAGCTGGGATTGTTCAGTCTGGAGAAGAGGAGGCTCAGGGGAGACCTTATTGCTCTCCATAACTTCCTGAAGGGAGGTTGTAGTGAGCTGGGGGTCAGACTCTTCTCTCATGTAACTGGCAATAGGACTAGAGGGAATGGCTTCAAGCTGCACTAGGGGAGATTTAAGCTGGATGTTAGGAAATACTACTTCTCTGAAAGGGTGGTCAGGCACTGGAATGGGCTGCCCAGGGAGGTGGTGGAGTCACCGACCCTGGAGGTGTTCAAGGAACGTTTGGATTTTGTGTTGAGGGAAATGGTTTACTAAGAACTATTGGTGATAGGTGGTTGGACTGGATGATCTTGTAGGTCTTTTCCAGTGTCAGTGTTTCTGTGATTCTGTGTATGTTCTGGTTTCAATTTCATACTGAACAGTCTTACTATACCAGGAGAAAGGCATTTTATCTTTCTCAACCTGTGAACTGAATCTGCTTACAGACCAGGCCAGAAGGACCAGGTTGTAAGCAGTTGGCACCTAAGATACAGGATCACCCACTTTGTGCTTCAGCAAGCCTGTGGTTGGTCTGCAGTTGTCAATGTGCAGTGTTGGTAGAACTGCTGTACTGTTGGGATTATCTTTTTGCCTTTGTGGAATTTAGATAGCAGTAACAGACTACAACTTTGTGAGGCAGACCTGGACTATAAGCCCTTTCACAGTAGGGATTCTGCACATATGTCATATCTAGTGTGAGGCATTGTGGTTCTTTCTGAAAATACTTGCTGACCACAGAAATAACACATGGCCTCCTGGGAACATCATTCTTAGGCAGCAGATAGCTGGAAATAATGCATCCCCGTTGTACTTGATAATGCATCACTCCTATGCCAATATATCATCTAAACCCTTCCTTTTCATGTAAACAACACTCAAGTCCCATGATGCTTGTTTTGATCCCACCCCTTGCTTAAAGCAATTTGCAGCCTCTCCTGGCCTATCACTTTCTGCTCCTTGCGATCTTTTCTTCATGATGCATTTGTATCTGAGATGCCAGGTGTGCTTCTAATTAGCATCGTATGTCACCTCTCCAGCAGAACGAAAACTCCCACTTCTAGGTCATGCCAGAAATAAATGAGTTATTAAGGTAGGGAGAGGAGATGAGGTGTGGTGCTGCAGCTTCCTTGAAACACTACTCTCGCACGGGATGTAGCTGTGTGGTTTGGCAAACTGGAGGTGCATGGAGAAAGTTGGTAGCATACAGGAGGTGTGGCAACACCTATAACGCCATGGTGGAATGTAGCTGTGTGTTCACTGTTAAATCTAAAGGGAATTGAGCCTATACTAAGAACTTCTCAGACTCAGTATTTCTCTTCCTAATCTGTACGTTTGTGTTCTGGTTGGGGTGCATGTGTTCAGTTGATTGAAAAGGTGCTTTTCAGTGATAGTTTTTACTTCTATAGTATCAGTGTTTTGTCACAGTTAATATAAGAAATTAGAAAGTTTGTATATGTGACACAAGTCCTTGTTCAAGTTACTTCAGCATTGACTTGTGTTTTTAATTGCCTAATAAAAGGTTAGAATCTAGATAATGGGCAAATTATTGCTTTTTCAAAATTATTATTTACCTATTTCTTAGGCACAAGTTCTGACTTGAGAAGTAGAACTGAAAGAGAGATACGTGACCAGAGTGAAATCCAAGTTCACCTGGAAGCAGTACTGATGGTATAACCCTCAACAAATAGGCTTATTCCACTTTTTCAGTCAGAATGTTTGAACTTTGTTTTTTTATAACAATGTATAAATGCATCAGTGTGCACAAGAAGTCTACCTTGGTATAGTTAAAGGAGCAAGTTCAGTCTAGACCATCTCCTGCTTTGAAATCTAATTAGCTAAAAGCTTGATAACAATCCTGTTCCTAGTTCAGAATGACAATACTGAATTGTCAATCATTTGGAAATTGCAGAATTCAGGAGAAACATATCTTTGAATTTAACTTTTTGTTGGAAGGATTAAATCTTTAAAATAAAACCTCACTTTATACGTGCTGGAGGCTGAGTTTGTTTCATCCAGAATGTGTAATATTAAAACAAAGTAACTTCTTGGTTTTGTTTTTCAGAAATGGAGGAACAAAATGCTGGATCTGGGACTGAGGACTTATAAAGGATTATGGGATTATACATTGAAGAGCCAGCAGGCGGAATGCCTGAGTGACTGAAGAAAATGGGTGCTAATGCATCTAACTACCCTCACTCATGTTCCCCAAGAGTAGGGGGAAATTCACAGGCGCAACAGACATTCATAGGTAACTTCTCAGTTATCTTGTTGCTTATGTAAATGGGTTGCTGGATTGCATATGTACTGTATTTGGATTTCTTGCAGTGACACTATGCAGTTCTAATTTTCTAGGTCATCAGCTTATATCTGCTCAAGCTTAGTAGTGCATGAAATTTGGTACTGTCCAATATCTGTTTAACCTACGTAGGCAATAAGTTGATCTGCCAGTTGCTAGTAAACAGATGTCAGATTATTTATAAGTAAGTGTTTATAGATAATTCAGTCATAGAAGGAAGACTAGCACATGTGATTTTTTTCATTCTTCCTCAGATGTTCTGTGCAATGTTCTCTAAGCACAGAACACTCCTGATCCTCAGTACTCACTGTAGTATTGGTAGTGTTTGTAGGAGGAGAGGAGATGACTTATCATCAGAAAGGTTCCTCTAGTAATAAACCTGTTAAAGTAACTGGCAATCTTGAAGACAACTTTTTCTGCCCTTCTCCTGTTTGTGGTAGCTGGAGTGAGGAGAGGAGGGTTACTTATTTTCTTAACCGCCTCATTTACAAGGAAAGGTTCTGCTTAGCTAGAAACTTCACAAAGCTCTTAAGAAATTATTTAGTCATCCCAGTCATAACTGGGGCAGCTACCAGCTTTATATGCTGCTCAGTCTAGCAAAAAAAGACTTCAGTGTAGATCTAAGTACTGTCATGATATAAATAATAAATAGTTAAGTGATGAATCTAAAAGGCACTATTTCAAAAGACAATCTTTTTTTAAAAGAAAAACAAAAACCCACCCTGACAGACTGAAGAACGATCTTTGTTGTAAATAACATAAATACTTTATAAATGCTTTCCTCCTTTATGCCTTGCCTTGCAACAGTGAATCAGTACTTAATAATATGCAGTGACTCTTCTTAATCACCACTGAAAGAACAGTAGCGTCCTTAGCAGAGAGAAATTTACTTGCTTTGTAACTTGTGTTTTGTTTTATCATCTCAGCCTTTGTATCATTCCAAAATTTTAGAGATCTGAGTAGAGGTCAGCACACAAGCTATTTTATATTTATTTTATATGAAAACTTCTGCTCTGGACAAAAAATTGTGTATGTGTGCTTGTGCTGTGTCAAGGAAGAACTTAAGGCTTTATGTATCTTCGGTGTATTGTAACTAAGAGTAGTAAAATATTTGTCCAATTTGTACGTACATTATTTCTAAAATCACAGCCAAGACTATCACTGAAGTTTTGATTTGCCTTTATATTGAAGAGAAACCCCTTGCAAGTCCAAACAGCTCTTAAGAGGGGAAAGTTCCAAAGGTTTTGTTAAATTCCATAGCAAATTTGTCTGTTTGTATGTGGAAGCTTTTGGTAATGCTCCTCAGTATTAAACCCCAGATAGAAACCTATTATTTAGTATTTCACAAAGCAATTTCTCTGTAGGTTACAGATCCATAGGAGTTGAGTCTTTTTTTGATAAAGGTTAAGAGCATGTCGTTGTTTCCTTTTAGGCAGTGAAAAATGAGTGTTCTGATTTATTAAAATAATAAAACAAAAATTCTTCATGGTAATTTTCTGATGCTACAGTGGGACTTCTGCACGTGCCCTAGTAAAGTAACTGCTCTTTATGTAACATTGGCAAGTATCCCATTGTCCTGCTTTGTGGTCATTGGCTTTTTTTTTGAATCTTGTTTGAATAGCTGGTTTGTTGTAGCTCTCAATAGAAAATAGTTTTGTCCTAAAATTGGCTGAGATTTTAATCATTTGTGAGAATAACCATGCTTTTTCTCTGCATGAACTTTTTCAGATTTTTCTCTATGTAGTAGGCACTAGATCTGCTTAGTGCCCAAAAGCAGAACTGGAAATATGAGAATTGGTGTTGTAAGAGCTCAAAGTGCATCAATATTTCAGTTTTAGCAAAAGCTTACTAGTTAATCTCTTGCTGTTTGTCTACAGCATTCAGATTTCACACCATTTTCTAGGGCGGTACATCTGTTCAAGATGTTAAAAACTAATTATAGAGCTGTATTTAAAAATAAATGTGTTGGCATGCGAAGGACTAGACAAATCCTGTTATTCATTGTCAAATGCCCAAGTAGTTTCTCTTAGGAGTCATCCGTTTCTTGTAAGTATTATCTGTTCAAAACTAAGTATGATGTAGGGGCTTTTATAACGTTTAATAGATTACTCCCCACTACTATAATAAAAGGTAGCAATTTTTTTACTTCCTAATTCTAATCCTGCCTTCTGAAGGAATAAAGGGAGGCCAGAAGATTCAGAGCTTTCTCTGATAGATACTGAATCACCAATTATTGAAGTACTGGAAAGACTGTGCTGATGTATCTCTTCTGCTTCTGGCAAAAAGCAGCTGTGGTGACAGCTGTATTAGCAGCACTGCTTTATCTGATTGTAGGGATTAATAGTGCTGCTTGCAGTAATTCTGAAGTGAAATCCTGAGTGTATCCTGGGGTATGCAGAGGTTTGAGTGATATTGTAGCATCTTGTAATGATTCGAGCATAAGTAATGCTTGATGGCAGCCTTCAGGGAGGAGAAATTGAGACTTCTGGTGTCCTAGTTCTTGTTCAGCAGAACGTAAGGGAATATTGTACATATTCAGATTCACTGTTGGAATCCAAAATACTTAATGATGAGCTGTTCCTCAGAACAGGATCATCATAGAATGTTCAAAGTGTGGTTACACTTCTATTGTGAAATGTAATCCATGCTTTTTCAGTGGAGCAGAAATTCTAGGCTCATCTCAACAGGAAACTGATTCTCCTTATTTCTATTGTAATATCTAGTATATCATGTGGAGAGAGTGTTTATGGTGAATTTTGCAGTATGATCTCTTTGTCAAAGCAGTTCCAAGTTACTGATATATTCCTTTAAATTGATTTGAATGTCTCGAAATTTCAGTGTTTAATGACATGTTGCTTGATTGAGCAAAACTTACTGTAGCATGACTAAAATTTTCTTTCCTCAAAATTACAAAGGCCACTTCCCCAAACTTTCACTAATAAATGAATTGTAAATCTATTAGATTGGGATGATCTGGGGGAGTTTTACTTAAATTGATTTAAAAGTCAATGTATAGCTTACTTAAAATTATTGAGGCTTAAGTAAGAAGACAATCTACTGAAATCTTAACTTGCTAGATTTGCCATGTTCTCTAATACAACTTTGAATTGCTCCTGTTTTATTCCAGCTTCATGAAAGTATTTCAAATAATGTGGTAACTAAGAGCACCATATATACTTTAACTGGCTGACGCATAACATCACTGCAAGTAGCATCACATCAGATCTGACTGAAACATATGGACCAGAGGGAAGTGGCTGAAAGATGCAGAAGACCACACAAACTATGTAGTGGTTGCATGTGTTTCAATCTTAAAAGCTTCAAAAAGCAAACAAATAGTAAAATTGTTCAAATTTATTAAAAGAAAAAAAAAAACTATTGGCTGTTCCCAATGGAAAATTTGACAAATATATTTCGATCAAAATCAATTACAGTGTTATTTATACCATTTGCAAATGTCTTTTTTTTCTTACATTGTCTGGAAGTTGTTGGTTTGTACTTTTTTTTTCTACCTGTAAAGTCTGAGTCTTCCACCATCTGTTTTCAGTGAAAATTCTGGAAGTTAAACGAGAAAATAGCCCTGAAATGAGTCACACTTCTTTTTAAACTGCAGATTTTTAACTACTTTAATAAAAATTCAGTTTTAGTAACAATGTGATGTTGTATGTGCTGCTAGCATTGAAGCATCAGCAAAGGTTCTTCTAGTAGAGCAGATCAGATGCAATGCAGATAATGTTGGGGGGGGATCTATTTTTCTTTTCTTTACGTGTTTAGATCACAACATGATTTACGTGTAAATGAACACTGAGGAAGAATTTATGTGCATTCTTTTAATCATGTAACGCTCCATTTAAAGCAAATCTTTGATAACACAAAGTGGCACAAACTGGCAACTGCTCTGTGTAAGGAGCCCATTTTATGTTTTAACTTTCAGCATTACTTGATAATGCACAAGATTTCTATTTCCTTGTTAAAATTTGGACTGACATTTGATTTATTGTACTTAATTTTCCCAACCACTTTAGTATTGTATTCTCTTACATTGATTTGCAGTATTTTTTTTCTTGTTACTGTATTAGGTATCTAATGCCAAGTATGTTTTTCTGGTTAAAATTATTCTTAATGTTAGAAGAACTGGATTTGGAAATTACTTTGAAAGCTGGGGTGCTACTATTTCATTAAGTTTATTTAAGCTTTTTAAAAAAACTACTTTTTGCTTCTCCTAGAGTTAGTACAATAAACTTGTAATATTATGAGAACAGTTCTCTCTTCCTACTTTGATAAGCATGTGTGTGCCACAGAACTGCATCAACTGGCACTGCCTGGCTCTTCTAATTGAGAAAATTATAAGTTTTAATAATAGATTACTTAGTAACTTTAATAATAAACATAAACTGTACAATAATAAAAACAAAATCAGGCTTTCAAATTGTTTGAATTATCTGATGTGAGGAGAAAGAAAAAGCTGCATAACTTTCAGAGACCCTGATAAACTGTTTGGGTACGACAGACCTTTCTTTTAAATTTAAGGGATAAATGTGTTTAATTTTCCTTTTTTTGCTTTCAGGAACATCATCCTATTCTCATCAAGGTTATGGCTGTGAATCAAAGCTCTATAGCCTTGACCATGGCCACGAGAAACCTCAAGACAAGAAAAAGAAAACCTCTGGCCTTGCCACCCTCAAAAAGAAATTCATTAAGCGTCGGAAATCCAGCCGATCTGCTGATCATGCTAAGCAGATGAGAGAGCTCCTCTCAGGCTGGGATGTCAGAGATGTTAATGCATTAGTAGAAGAATACGAAGGGACGTCAGCCTTAAAGGAACTTTACCTACAAGCTAATTTGGCAAGACCTGAAGCCAGGACGCTACAAAAAGACATGGCTGAACTTTATCAGTACAAATATTGCACCGATGTAGACTTAATATTTCAAGAAACTTGTTTTCCTGTGCATCGTGCAATATTAGCAGCAAGATGTCCGTTTTTTAAGACACTGCTTTCTTCCTCACCAGAATACGGGGCAGAAATAATAATGGACATTAACACAGCTGGCATAGATATGCCTATGTTTTCAGCTTTGTTACACTACCTTTACACAGGAGAGTTTGGCATGGAGGATTCAAGATTCCAGAACGTTGATATTCTTGTGCAGCTTAGTGAAGAGTTTGGAACACCAAATTCATTAGATGTTGACATGCGTGCGCTGTTTGATTACATGTGCTATTATGATGTGGTTCTTAGCTTTTCCTCCAACTCTGACTTAGTTGAAACTTTTGGTGGAAGTCAGAACTGTCTAGAAGAAGAGCTCAGAGCTCACAAAGCTATTATTTCATCACGATCGCCGTTTTTTCGTCATTTGCTGCAGAGGAGAATACGGACTGGTGAAGAAATCACAGACCGAACTCTACGAACTCCAACTAGAATTATATTGGATGAATCTATCATACCAAAAAAATATGCTAAGGTCATCTTGAACTGTATGTATACAGATGTGGTGGACCTCTCAGTTTTGCACTCAAGCCCTTCAGTGGGCAGCTTAAGTGAAGTTCAGGCTCTTGTTGCAGGAAAACTAAACATGACTAGGGCTGAAGAAGCTATGGAGCTTTACCACATAGCACTGTTCTTGGAGTTTAACATGCTTGCACAAGGTAGGTAGTACTGTCCTTTCTGTAGAATAAATAATGTTATTAGAACAGTTTTTTTATCTTACAGTTCACAGAACCATAGAGTGGTCTGGATTGGCAGGGGCCTTAAGAATCATATAGTTCCAACCCGCTTGCTAAGGGCAAGGATGCCTTCCACTAGAGTGGTTAATCATGATCAGGTTAGATATTATCTTCTTCAGGAAAATGTTTATGCTAAATTGTTGAAACTAATTAAGCGGTAAACTTCCACAGTAACCCAAACAGTAGCTTAAAAAAATAAAGGAGGGGAAGAGATTTTTTTCCTCTTCTTCCATTTGAGCAAGTCTGTTTTCTTTACAGTAGCCTTACTTATGTAGCAGCCAGTGAACTGTCAGTGGGTAGTCTTTCTGTTTGCTTTGCCTTCCAGTAATTATCTCCTTTCTTCAGGAGTAAAGGCAGGATGCGCTGAGGGTATTATGCTTGTATACCTCCTGACTTAAGAATGGGAAGAAAGTGAGAAGCACTTGCTTCAGTCTCTGCACTTTGCCCATAATCGGATAAAATAGCCTTCTGCAATGGAACTTGGAGTTCTATTCACTCATATTTCAAGTGCCTCTTCTTTTTCAAAATGTAAATGCACGATAGCTGTAGTCGTCTTTAATTAACATTTAAATAAGGAAGTATAAATAGAAGCTGTCTGTGGGATCCAGGGAGTGTTTCTGACCTGATTCTAAATGCACCTCTGTTAATGTGTCGCTTCCATGCTGGAATTCTACGTGTTAACTGAGGGTGCTGTTGCTGCAGGGTGGGAAAAGTTGAATTTCTTTGAGCATCCCAATTAGCAGAATTAGTGATGTCTGTTCTCATTGAATGGTCCAAACTCTTTCTAAAGTAGCTTACCCTGTAGCCTGATCAGCAGAAGCTATCATTTGCAATGTTTGTATTCACAAAGAATTGAGAAGGCTTGAATGTGTGAAATGCTAGTGTCTTAATCTGCAGTCTTTCATAGAGTGTGTATTTCTGAAAATAAGACCCTTTACTGTATTTGTGGTTTAAAAAAGAAAAACCACAGAATCATCCATTTTCTTTTTGAGGGCCATTAGTTTAAGTCTTGCATTCTAACTGATTTGCACTGTAAGTATGCATAATGAGTCTTGCTGTCAGTAATTGGCAACATAGTTGAGGAAAAGAAACTTTTCCCATCTGTAAGTTGGAGATAATACATCTGTGTTTTTCAGGGACAGAAGAAATGCTATGTGAAGGCTTTTAACTGTAATGAGTGTCATTACCGAAGTATGATATTTCAAATACGTATAGCAAGTTTTGATATTTCTGATCTTTATCAGCTATCAGCTTACAATTCCCTTTTTGTGGCTAAATGAGGTGTGGGGCAGAGGATACAAGAGATCCTTGCTAAGAAAAGGAATTATTTAGCGTTGATACTAAGTGATCTTGCCTGTTGGCAAGCTGTAAACTTAAATTATTGCTTCTGTAGTTTGTGTCAAAGGAGGTACACCAAGCCTTCAGTCTTGCTGACTGAAGATGATGTTATAAGATTTAATTGTACTAATACTGAGGGACTCTCAATTCTTGAGAAGTTGATTCCTGCTCATAAGGGCTGGCGAGTTGTAGAGTCTGCAAAGCACTGGCTGGTGAGCTAATGCCTCCTGTGGTGCTTTGCTCTTTCACCTGCTGGTGTTCAGACAACTGAGTAGATATATTATATGTAATGGGATGTTGCAGTTGCTTCTGACTTTGGTGGGGAATGATAGTTTTACTTTTGAGGCGAGAAATTGAGAATAACTGAGGTAACAATGGGATTTGCTTGAGCTAGTTTAAGAAAATAACTTTTTACAGTAGATGTTTACACCTGTAACTTCTAGCTATCAAATGGAATACTGTAAACTATCAAATAGGCTTCAGTAAAAGAAAAAGCTTACGGAGGAGATGAGCAGAAAACTGCAGGTATTAACACTGCAGAAGTAGATCATGCTCTGTTACTTCAGCCTATCAGTGGGTTTTCCTAAGAGCTGTATCAAACTGTGAATTATAGAGGATGTGGGAAACTAATCAGTAACTTGTATATTCCCTTGAGGCTGGTGTTAGGAAACTAATTTTCACATGATGCTGGAAGTTGAAATAGTCCTACTGAAATAAAACTGTCAGGAAACAGAGGAGATTTGTTCTGAGGTATGCTGCCACAGGAATGAGAATGAGGTGTTCTTAAACTTGATTTTTGTTGTTGTTTGCCTAGAAATGCAATGTTTAAGTGAAATGCAGAAGTGGCAAAAAGTTTTACAGTAGTGGAAATACTGTTAGATTCATTCCTATACAATATATGAGTTCATACTACTTGAGAGCAGGGCATTCGTAGATCAACGGAAAGCAAGAAAGGAAAATGAGTTGAAATGGAATGTGATGTAAATGTACGGTTTCTCAGTATCTGATTATTTTGGTGCATGCCCTTATACAAGTGCTAAAAGGATTAGTGTGCTGGGGGAATACTAATGAGGGAATTAAACTGTGAATGAAACCTGCACTGAGATGCTGAATAGTTATGCACTGTTTCATAAATGAACAGAGTATAATTCTCTCAGACTTGAAATCTAAACTGGAGCAACTGAAAAATTTGAAGGTGTTCTGAAGAAGCAGTGTAACTTCTCAAAACCTATCAGTGTGTCCTGAGTCAGTACTCTTCATTAATGCAAGATAGGTCGATGCTGCTTTGAAATATGTTGTATGAATCAGTGCCAACAAGGTGTTAACTTTTTCTAGCTGAAGGGTTTTTTCTCACCCTAAGGGATGCTAGTGCAGCTGCATTAGCATCCACCGGTGGCTGGAACTTGGTAAGTACGTGACAGTAAGGGGTGAGAGGTTGTTATCTTTTAGGAAGAAGCACAGTAAAAGTGGGGAAGGATCAAAACTTAGTGTGTTATGCAACGGTAGTAAACTTGGACCATTTTCCCTACCTATCCTCCCCTACAGTCACTGAAATTCCATTTGTTAACTTGAACTAATTAGAATGTTATAGGTGAGTACTGTGTTAGCTACAAGCAAAAGCAGTGAGCAGTCTGTAGGAAATCTGTATGTGGCAGTGAAGTCGGTATCCAGTAGTTTCATACTTCATTTGCTGAGTTCATGTTTAGATCAATTGTTATTATAGTCTTATAATTGAAATTTAAAGGAAGCTTATTTGGTCAGGAAAAACTGTATGCCTGCACTTGGCTATCAAATCACTGCTGTTAGCAATTTTAAACTGTCCCTCCTTTCTTATTTCAGTATGTATTCTAGCATCTTGTTCTCCCTTAAGAGTTCTAATACTTAATGTGGGGAGATGAATCTTCATCTCAGTACTGTCCCTCTCATTCCCAGTGTCATAGCTAGCATACTTTGTGCTAGAAGCTTTAACTCAGACATCTGACTTCTAGACACTACCCAGGATGATGCTATAAGAGGTGAAATTGTGTAATTAGTTGTTGAGTCCACTGAGCAGGCAGTTCTCATGAAATCTTTTGTCTTGGTCCTCTGATAGTGCTTTTCTACTTTGTGCTGCAGGCACCCAGTTTGACCCAAGGTCTGTCACTGGTCTGATCAGTCAGCTTTTGCAGTAGCTAATTTAATAAAAAGTCTTAAGTTTCTTCTAGATTTCTACATGCTCCCTAGCTCAAATTTTTGATTAGGCTCACTCAGGCTAGCCAATTCCAAATGTGCTAAAGCCTGTCTCCCTGGTTTCCTGGAAAATATTTGGGTCTCAATATATGCAAGTCTGGATTTTCTTTACAACTCATTTTACTTACTTTAACCCAGTTTTGGCTGGATGCTTGTAGTTGAGCATTAAGTGAAGTTGATATATTTTAAACTTCTGAACAACTATTTTTTTTTATTCTAAGCAATTTCAGTTTGATTTGACTGCAGATTACTTTGTAAGTATCTAGACGTCATTTTTCATCAGTTTTAGCATACCATTCAGCTTTGACTCTATGTGAAATCTTCTTGCTCCTAACAGTGATAAAGCTGTGTTTTAATAGATTCCCTATGATAAAGACAGTGATGATTTGGCTATGTGCTAAGAGTCTTTACTGTCAAAGTAAAGCAAGATTGTTTAAAATTTACTTTGGCTTCACCTTGACTTAATGATCAGCTTAAAGAGATCATTTATCTTACAGAGGAAACTGAAAACGAACCGGTGTGAATAAATGAACTAATCAGCAAGGATATTTCATCTCGGGATCTGATCGTAGCAAAACACTTTTGTACCTAATAACCCAGAAACTGTTATTAGAGTTTTTCTGTAGTATTTAACTATCAAAAAGTAAAGCTCTTTACTGCTTTTGCAGATCCTGTGAGTATTAGAGCCATTTTCAGGATGCTCAATCACAGCCCTCAGGAGAACGTTGCTGTTCTTGTTTCATTTCTTTTCTCTCTACTTGTTACCTTGCTGCACTCTGAGACTGTACTGGTGATTGTTCCAATGCACTGGCTCAAATCAGATGTAAAATCACTTATCCCTTCTTCTTCAATAGCACCATTATTAAAACTGGATCAGTTCCCTAATTCTGTTTGCTATGCATGGTGAAAACAATCTCCCCTTCTGGCTTTACTGTGCTGCCACATCCACTGTGGTTTCAGAAAAGTTTGACTCAAGTATCTTAATTGTTAGTTATCTATACTGAATGTATGCATCTTGGCCCTGCTGCTTACTGTCATGAGTAGTCTTGTTGAGGTGGTGACACAATATAACTTTTCTGTTGCAGATTCTTACAGCAGTAGTTTTGCCTGGGAATTGGAAGGTAAAAGAAAATTCCAGAAAGCTTTCTAAATTAATACAAAGTCAGAAAACAACATGAATCCAGGCTTTTTACTATGCATTTCCTTCCTTTTATTTTTAGGTATTTTCTTTATCCTTGACAAGAGTGAGAATAAACTTTAAAATAAAGTCATTTTTAGTAGCACAGTCTTTGATCTAGAGGCAGATATTATCTGACATCAAAAGTACTCTTGATCTCAGCAGGACTGGAATACTG